TTGCAATGGTTTTATTATTCTTTTTTAATTCAGTTATTGTATTATTCGTTTGATGTTTCTTTTCCAAACCTAGAAAGAAACTGGTATTTCGCTCTCCTTCGCTTATCCATTGCGCTTTTGATCTTATTTGAGCTCCTTTAGCAATTTCATCATACATTGCATCTAATTCTTTCTCTAGTTTTCGCTTTTCATTCATATCAATTTCTAGACTAGGCAAACATTCAATTTTATCGATTTTTTCCTCTAGTAATTTTACTTTATATTTTATATTATGTTTGGATTGTTTCGCGTATTTAATAGAATAATCACGTACACTTATTTTAAACGTTTCCCATTTTAAAATTGGATCTAGCGTTTCATCAATGTTGTTAAATATTTCCTCTATACCGTGTTTGTAATCATCATTGTCAAGGTGAGATACATTCAATTTCCAGTAACCTGCACCTCTATCTAATTTACTAAGATTTAAAGTACATTTAAGATAGCTGTGGTCACTTAACCGAGTGCCATTATTGTGAGTTCCAGGAATTCGTCTGACAATGATATTTTTTACACTTTCTATAAAGTCTTTATTTACAAAAATATAATCAATTCTACTTTTTGGACAATTTTCTGCATCACACCAGGTATAACCGTTAATATTAGGATTTTTATTAAGCCATACGTCGACTAAGTCGAATTTATTTATTAGTTTATTTAATTTTTTATTGGATTTATCATTTTCTTTATCAAAATTGCAATTAAAATCACCTCCTATTATGATTGTACTATTTTGCGCAGAAAACGAAGAAATATATGTATTAAGAGTTGTTAAGAAGGCTAATCTATCTGACTCTTTATTAGGTGCGTAAACGTTAATAATTGTAAATGAGTCATCGTCTATTTTTGCATTAACAAGTATTTTCCTACCATCATTAGACTTATGAACATTTAAAATATCTACATTACATTCTCGTCTAAAAAGAATAGAAACTCCTCTACTAAAAGGAGAATCTGAAAAAGCATGAACTATTTTCCCATTCCATTTTCTATTATAGTTTTCTACATGTTTTTCAACAAAATGAGTTTCTTGTAAAAGTATTATATCTATTTTACACTCTTCTAACCATGTAAAGATTTTTGCTCTTTTTTCCGGGGAATTAAGACCTCTTACATTCACCGAAAGTAAACTTAAATTGTTCATTTGTATGGTTGATATAAATGTGTAATAATGTTATAAAAAGGGAGGGGGGATAAATTAGGTCTTATCACTTAACAAGTAAAAATAGAACATACCAATTCATTACAGCATTTTTAAAGTATGCCAAAATTGTCTGTAAATAGTTATAACTGAGCACACACCGAAGTTCATGAAATGCTGCATCAGTCTGACCGGAGATAATACAGTTACTTACAAGTATCATCATCACAACTCTCCGTGCTAGGTTCATCACTGTCGGACATTTCTCTCAGCTGATTAAGCATTTGCGGTATTGTTTTTTGTTTCGAATGATCTTTTTGTTTTTGTTTTTTTTCGTTTTTTGCTGAATCACTCAGCTTTCGCTTTCGAACTTTTCTTGCGTTTTTTTTCATCAGGACACCAAGAATATTTTTTCCTGGCCACTGTTCGGGTTTGGTGTTGCATGTACCCTCCCGGTCAAGCCCTGAGCCCCATTCGTTGTTGTATGTTGCTTCAACGAATACTGTCGATTGCTTTGAAGTACACAACTTATCGCGGAAAACAGGGACCTGGACACATTTATTTTCCAAGATCTCCTCCATCACTGCCTCTTTAGTAGAATCCCACTGCTCGTTAGATTTTATTTTTTTGCCTAAGCGTAGAGCGGTAAGGGCATCATCGGCATCTTTGATGATATTGGCCGAATCTGGGTCACCGCATCTTACTGCCTTAATGTACTGAAAGGCATGTTCAGCCGACTTGTGTTTCATTCCAAAGATATCCAAATCGCAAGGGTAAAAATTGGATAGAACATCCTCTGCACCGCAGAAAGGGGTCAAATTCTTTTGTGGCTGGTAATGAGGGCATGCTTCATTCCAGGGGGAATGACCAGGTTGTTTGCATACCTTACAACAGGTTTCGAAGGAACAGTTAGAGCGGGTGTGGTCGGTTTTCCAGCAGTTTGTACATAAAAGGTGAATGTCCTTTTTGGGTTGACCATAGTGAAAAATCTTACACTGTATACCACCGCAGTAGTTAATTCTCGGAAGATATTTTCCGTCTGGAAGAGGTTCAATATACATGAACCTTGTTCCATTTAGGATACTTGTCATCCGGTTTGTCTCTGGATGGCGGATCTTTTCGTACAGAATTTTACTTGTTAATTTGACGTTCAGTTTGTTAAGTAATTCCTGTACCGCGGAATCTGCCACAGAGAGGGGGAGACCACATATCCTAAGTTTAAGGGTTCTTTGAGATACGGATGTAGCACCAGAGGTGTACGGGTTAGTATCATAGAATTGGTATGCTACACTATTGATGTCAATACCCTGTGTTAGGAGCTTATGTCGGCATTCTGTACTTTTGAGATAAATTCTCCACAGATTGCGGTCGAGTTGCACGCAAAGTAGATCATCACCGATTACCTTTTTTATTGGATCAATAAGATCAAAGTCAGTGATCTGTTTTTCTAAGGAAACCCGAAGATCATTGTTCTTTAAGTATAACGGCTTTGATGTTCTGTCAACCGAATCGAAATCACTCTCTGCCATCGCCAGGTGAAGTGTACAGGTAAACAGGTGAGTTGATATCACAGAAGAAATCAATAAACATATGTACAAGAAATCAAACTTTTTACAATTTGGTTTTGCTGATAAATCCCAAAAGCTAACATTCACAAACTCCCACAAGACTTCCGAAATTGAAAATTCCACAATCAGAATCTTGAATCCGGAAGAAATAGTCAAAAAAACACGGAGCGACAAAAAGCACGTCCAGTGTCGTCCTTGTCACGTGACCTGTTCCAATTTTATATTTGTTTTCTTTTTCAAGAATGAAAATCGTGTAGATTGGAATAATTTGTACCACTTCTATTCAGATAATAATGCCATTGCATGATCTTTAACATTGAAAGGTAAAACTTTATCTGAGGTTGAAAGAAACAATATATTGTCCTGTCAGCGGTGCAAAGAAAATGGATGCAATTATTTTGATTGTGAATATCAAGTGGATAAAATATTTTGTTCAAAGGTATTACCATTTACTGTTTATTAAAAATAAATATCTTAGTTTAGGTTGCACAGGTCTTCGTAGTATCAAGATGAGAAAAAAATCTTAAGGCTTGTGTATTTCAATAAATTTAATTGAAATTGAATAAAACTATTCTTCTTTAATTCTATAATGTCGTTACACATTTTAAAGAACCGACTTAAATTTTTCTTCATTTTTTATTTGCCTAGAATTTGCATTTAGAAAGTCTTAAAATTAACAACTTAAAGATAATTTGTAAGAAAATATGTTGAATATGATTTCCTTTTTATATATGTATAAACAAAGTTCTTAATCACTGAGTATGTAATGTTTAAGCGGTGAATGATAAATACCAAATGTATTTTTCTAAAAAGGAGAAACAATTATTTTCCATTATTTCATTTTAAACGGCCACGGGAATACTTATATAATATATGATAAATTGGATATATATAGTAAGCTCTAAATCATCTTCACTTGGTCAAATTATGTGAATGTTTTTTTTTTTATTATGTTATTTTTCACTTTTTTTAGTTTTGTATTTTTGTTTCCCTTATGTTCTTGTATTAATTACTGGGGGACGATATAATTCAAATATGAAAGCTTAAAGAATTATTTTCTATTTCTTTATTCCTCAGACAACATTAAACAAAACGTTTACTGAAGTTAACACATATGTCAGTGTAACCAACTCCCAAGAATCAAATGTCAGACTAACATCGATAACAACCTTTGCTGATGATCAGAAAAAGACCAAAATGAACGCAAAGGTAATACCATTTGAGGAATGTAAAATGGCTAGCAACTGTAACATATAAAAAACAAATAATGTCATTGATAAAGAAATTTATTTTTTTTCAAAATTCTGTTGATATTTTAATTTCCATCGTTCCTAAATACCACCTTATTTTTTCAATTGTACTTACATCCAGACAACAGTAGCTTTGCATTCCAAATTTCACACATCACCTGAGATAAGAACAGATGGTATGTCTCATAAATCATTATATTCAAGATTGTTTCAAACATCGATCGCAAAACATAAATTCTCGACAACATTTATGAATCAACAAAAAAGAACGAAACTGAACGAGGATATCACTACGAGTATGAAAAGATGTAAGACGCATACAGTATTCACGGTAGACTCTACAAGTGACGAAAAAGTGAGTAGAAATTGGATTTCATTGCATTTCAATAACAAATGCTTCTGTATTTTTTGTTTCATTTGTACATATGATTCAAATATTTTGTTGATAAGACGAGTGAAGTTACAAATTGTCACAAAAAATAATTGTTAATATATATCATGTAGTTGCAAAGTAATTTGTTTGAAGGGACTTAATGAACCAGAAAAGAAATGCTTTTAGGTTCATCTGGTTTTTTTTTACCGTCATTATGGTTCGTACAAAGGTAGCCTGAACGTGTACACTGTGTATAAGGCTAAAATTAAAACCAGCCTTTCTCAAATAAGAACAAAAATAACCATCATAGATACTGCTATACACAGTGACATTTTCGCTTTTTATTTTTATTTTCGCCCAATTTGTCCTACACACCGGTGTAGAAATTCAAATAACACGGTATAATTTCATAAACTTTGTCATACTGCTCTATTATAAAATAACAAATTATATTAAAATGTATTATTTCTACACCAAAACGCGTGGTTAAATATCGATATGTCCCTCAAAAAAGTCTTGTAAGTGTAAGTATTCCTTTTAATATAAATTTCATCTTAAAACAAAATGTTTCAAAATTAAAAAAATAAAACGACAAAAATAAAATTTAAAAAAAAATGAATTAAAGATCTTAACTATGATACGTTTATTTTAGTTGCCGTTAAACATGAAAGTGAAAGTATGACAACCTTTATCCAAATCGGTGCCACTGTACTGAGCCTAGTGATTTCACCTTGTTTAATTTTCATTGTGGTCAGAGTAATCAGGTATAATGAAAAACAAATAATGAATGAATCCAATACTAGGAGAACAATAAAATTTCAGATAATTTTACATGCTCCTGTAAGGAGCACGAGACAAGCTAATAGAAAAATTATTATTAGAATAAAAGAGTTGTCCTTTTACATGGTTAAATGATGTATATAATATATACATGCATTTTTGTATATGAAAATATGAAAATGTCATTTTTCTGAATGGTACATTTTAAGATAATATATGCAGGAGGAAGCAAAATAAACAGGAGAAAAGAAGTTTAGCAACACATAAAAATTTAACCCAACAAAATGTTGAAGAAAGCATCTCGGGTTCTCAGGACGCAGAAAAGAAGAGCAGAACAGGTGAACATTCCTTCGAAGTTGGCACGTATGAATTGGCAGGTATCACCTATCTCGAAGAAGAACGGCAACACACTGGTGGAGAAGAGAGTCACTATGATCATCTTAGAGATACAGTGCCTATAAAACCTATGGAGGAGGACATCTATAATCATCTGCAAACTGAAAGTGAATCCAATTATTCCACATTCACAGGACATGTGGAACACCATGGAACTGTTGATGACACTTACAGCCATGTAGATTTTTCATAATTATAGACAAAATTTGCCTTCAGTCCCATTTCCATAAATTTCACTGATGAGACTGTTGAATCTTCTAAATCGCAGGAAATATTGGAAAAGAATGATAAAATGAAACATCCTCTCATAATGTCTTCCATATATGTATTCATGGATAGGAATCTAGCCAGCATATATTGTGTACAAAGGTGTATAACACGTTTTATGAATTTCAACATGGTTTGATTGTTGCTTTGTTTATCTCGACAATTTTTCATTTGTACTGAGACATCATCACTTGCAAGCGGAGAGCTTAAACTTTTGTCGGAACTCAGGGCCATTGAGCATGCAGGGATCTCTTTCTTGCCAGCACCTTCTGAGACAGAGAACGTCGGTTTATACGGTCTCATACGAATGAAAGTAAGGTTCAGCTCTTTACTCTTCGTCTCCAGAGCAGACCGAGCTGAGCCCCTAACCACTGCGCCTCAGAGATATCACTGCTAAACGATTTCTTTAATTCATTTCATTTTTTACAAATAAAAACCACCCATGCTACCTCAATGATGGATAAAACAAAAGCTATTCATCTGTAATTACTGAAGAAAAGGTACAGAGACGAACAAAAATATCAATATTTTTTTGTTAAATCTTTTTTTTTTTTTTTGGTTGCTTTATAGATTCCTATTTCATAAGTGAAGTACTATATTTTTTATGCAATGCAATAAAATAATAACAGTATCAAAACATGTTTTATTTCATTTATTTTATTGGAATACACAGCCTAATAAAACATGTGTCAATAAAGGGCTACAAAAATTAAGAAAGAAATACGGATCATTTTTATCAAGAACTATTATGAAGCAGTTAACATGCCTTTGAATTATAATGTTATTGGTTCAAACATGGTAAAAAAATTGTTATGGCTCTCAATAAATTTATCTTCCAATTATTTTCTATCTGATGGACAATAGTAAAGACGATATCATTTGTTATATTTATCATATTTGTTTAGGGAAATTGTGAAAGTAACTTAACTTGTTAACATTTCCTTTAATTATTTTCATCTCATGCATATGATAAAGAAGTAAATTTATATCTTCATTCAATGTAAGCTGGCTTATTTCACATTGATTACTGTGTACTGGGAAATTTTCGCCCCCGTTTAAATTTTGTCCAATTGCCCCTACTCTCATTTGCGAGAATTTAAAGAATGAAACTTAGAGTGGGTGAATTTAAAAAAGGGTAATATTCTTTGCATGTGTGAAAGGGGCAAAGATAACCCTGTGTACAGTATTACCACTTTGGTTGATGAGTATCTAAAGGTTCTTACATGTAAGCTAATATAATTTTATACTACAAGATTTTTACAGCTTGACTCAAGACGATAATTCTGGGAGAATTTTATAATCATTTTTCATAATCCTTTTTATGCAGCTTGCTTCCTTGAAGTCTACAGACACTGTATAATACATTGATATATGACTGATATATCTCAATACTGAAGCTTGAGTGCTGATACATGACATATATTTTAAAATATAGGAAAGCAGTTTAGAACTTATGTCAATGACTTGCTTCACATTCTTGTACCTTGATATATGTTTGATATGGTTAAGGGTTAAATTCGCAGTGATTGCCCTTATCATATACTGTAGACGTACTTTTTTTTTCCACTGGGTCATAATTCCGCGGAATCTCAATTTCCGTTTTATCCGCGGGTTGAAGATTACGCGGATTTCTCAGACTGTCACTATATGCCTACATTTATATTAAGTATTTAGCTTGGACAAATTTACGCGGAAAATTTGTGACTGTGCACATAAAGTAAATAAATACCACTTGGAAAAAAGTACTTCTACACTACATGAATCAAAAAATGTAATAAATGCTTCTTCAATATACAGTCAATTTAATCCAAATCTTAGATGAAGTCTGAACCTCAAACTAACATTTTAAGAACTCTTATAAAGAAAGTTTTCCTGTTTTAGAAATGTATTTCAACAACAACTATCTCCCTGAAGACATGTACCCAGGGTACTGAGTTACACAGACCTGGTATAAGATAAGGTACAAAATGTGAACTGGCAAACATTTGCAACATTGTAACAGGAAAGATTTGAAATATGCAGTTTCAGTCAGAATTAGAGTCGAATCATCCGACGACGGACAATGAAATAAGCGGGTACAGTTAGTCTCGGGTGTCTGAGAAAACAGGCTATTGAAATTCTAGTTTAAAATTCTTTTTCAATCAACCTCATTTTTTTCAGATGTACAACATTGGTGATTGATACAGAAGATAAAAAAATTCCATTTCGGAATTGTTTTAAATTGTATAAATCAGTTTTCTGTCTGTGTATTTTTATAATTATGGCCATCTGATTCATGTAATTGGAGTGGTATTTTTTTAGAATAAATAGAAAAGTTTTTGAGTTTCGAAAATCCTCTAACATTTCCCGTTTCTGTTTGTCAAAAATGTTTTCATTGGAGAAGGAAAAAGATACCCTTTGGCTAATTACTGTATAACTGTTTAATTACTGTATAAATATACACATCCAATATATAATTCATCTCAAGAATCATAAACAGAGAAAATTTTACCTTCCCCCTTTAGAATTAAATGCTGTCCACTCAAGGAATAAATAAAGTATGTCTTCTATATTTATAATGTTTTTTATCTATAGAAAAAAATATTGCATTGAAAAACTCTTATCTATATCAATTTCAAAGTATTTGTGAATAAATTGATATTTGCCGTATGAAAATAACTTTACTTTCAGTCTATTTTTTTTCATGTCAAATTGCATTTACCCATCTCATTATCTTTCATAAAAATCTTGATGGAAATGACGTTAGCTTCAATGTGTTTCTTGTCTTGCCCGTCAATGGCTTTAGGTCTTTGTATGTAAACACGCATTTAATTACATGTATTAAACAATTTATGAGATAATAACTGATATACCGAAATTGTCTAACATTGGTATGTTCAATGCGGAGTAGAAAACTAAAAATGGTTAAAAGCTTATGTTTGAAAAAAAAAGAGAAACATTTCAGCGAAAATGAGAGTCTCGGGTAACGGTTTTTTTTTTTTTTTTTTTTTTTGTTGAAGATACAACACGAAACCGCCTTACATGTATTATTATTATTTTATGTTTTAAAGAATGTCCAGAAATTTTCTACATCCTTTTTATTATTTCTATTGTAAATTGAAGTTTCTCTACAAAAAAAAATATTATTTGAAGTTAATTGTCATTTTACTCTCTAAAATTCACGCAAATAATAAAATTTAAATGCTGAATATTGATTTTTTCAAATATCTGCTTAAAGATAAAATTTATTCATTTCCATACTTTCCTTTAGCGTATAATATTTTTAGTATCTATGCTTTATATCTACTTCAAAAGGGCTATTCTGAGTAAAATGATTCTGATCCCGATCTTAATTTCAATTTCCCACAATTTTACAAATTTCAGCGAACATCTTTGTACATACTATTTAAAGATGAGTAATTTGTAAATACATATTCACATTTAACATACATGTGCAATCTTATCATTAGCTTCAACCCTTCTCTCCGTAAAATATGCATTTGCCGAAATGACGTCATTATTTTCAAGCTGACAAAAACGTATTGAACCAGCAATGTGTTTTAGAAATGTAATTATAACAATGAAATGTTAAGGCATTTCCTTATTTAAACTATCAGAAAATGAAGTTAATCTAAAATTTTTATTTATCAAATTGAATTTGTGTATTTTTATGTAATTATGTAATATTAAATATATTTAATTTTTTATATAAATTACTATAAATATTAAGATTTAATGAGTGAATGAATGCAAGTGTCATTAACCAAAAAAAAAAAAAAAACAAGACTCATCTAAATATGATATCAAAATATTAGATGGAAGCCTCTATTATTTTTTTTAATCCCAAATTACAGCAATTATGAACGATACAATCATAGATTACACTGTAAGAAATGTGAATACAAAATGGAAGCAGAAAGAACAAACACGGACCTCCAAAACATTAGAGGGGGATCAGGTGCCACAGAGGAGTGAGTATCCCCTGCTGACAGGTCACACCCATCGTGTGCTCCGTGTCAAGATCGGTAAATAACGGAAAAATTCGTCGTCCATTCAGCAAATAAATAACGGACTAACAATTAGAATAAGAATAAGAATAACAACTAATTGAATAGGAATAATATTTTATCGAACAGGAATGAAATGATTTCGAAAAAAAAGCAAAATTTTCGAATACGAATAAAAAGAGTATAATAATGCAATTTTTTACCCGCTATACTATAAACATAGCAGAATATTTATTTACTTACAAATACGGAAAATTCATTTTGGAAAAGATGAAGAAGAAATAACTTCTTTTCTAATACAGTATACATGTAGTTAATAATTTCCTTTCTTATACAGTATACATGTACTTTCATTTGGCCTTCATCTTCCATAGTCAGTAAAACTTCTAAGCATGAAACAGTCGTGGCACATTCAATGGTGACTTTAATTTAAAGTTCACTGGGATATATCGAGTGGACATATGAACTAAAGTAACTATTGTTACTTGATTATACGTCATCGGTGTATCTAAATGTTGAGCTGAACCTCACAGCAAGTGTTTTCTTCTTGTCATGTAAAGTTTTTCAAAATATATTCTGATTCTGCTTGATGGAAATATTAAAACAAGTCGGTCAATGAAGAAGCACAATTAGTGCCCATCGAAATTCCAGGTCTCCAAAGACTTCAACGGTGTCAATAAGGAACTCCAGCTTCCTTTTAATATCCACTTCAGGATTAGGTAGAATCAGGGTGATTTTTAACAAAGTGATCTTCGTTGATGACCTATCACAATATACGAAAATTTCTGAGTTCCATTTTTATTGAGAAAGCAGTTTTCTATGATGTAAAAATATATAGCTTTGAATTTGTCGTGAAGAATGCTTGTTTAGAGTGTACAAAACTTTTACGTTTACATGTTACTGACTTTTAAAGAAAATGGTGATTTCAAATTTACTAAAGTGTGTGGGGGGGGGGGGCTTAGCATCCCTAGCCCCACCCCCCCCCCCCTTCCCGATATCTATGGATTAAATCACATTTGTGAAGACCAAGTAATAAATATGTGTTTTATGCTGTTGAATTTAGAACCGGTTTCATGATCAAAATTGCACGATCCGGCTCAATTTTCAACGGAGAGGGTCTTAATTCAATACCTTTGGTCTCAGTATTCAGCTTTGAAAATTGACCCCCCGGGTCAATTTTCAACCCGGGTCAAATATCAACGTTACACCGGTAGTACATTTTTTCATGTATACTTTTATTGAATTCATGCGAAAAAAAATTGTTCGAAATACAATTTATTAACATTACTTGTCGAACAGACCCGGTATTTATACGTTGAATTACGAACTATCTTAACCTTGTCATTTCCGGATGAGATTATGGCCGTATTCGATCAGTTGACTGCATATAACATGGATTGATTGATTGATTGTATATTGTTTAACGTCCCTCTCGAGAACTTTTCACTCATATGGAGACGTCACCGTATGCCGGTGAAGGGCTTCAAATTTTGACCTGAACTCGGCACTCAGGGCCCTTGAGCAGTGAGGGATCTTTATCGTGCCAACGCCTGTCTCTGATACGGGGCCTCGGTTTTTAAGGTCTCATCCGAAGAACCCGCAATTTTCACTTCAAAGTGCCGATCGCATGGCGAAAGAACAGTTGCTACCCATTTTTTATCGACTTAGGTCAGTCGCGGCCGAGATGCAAACTCACGACCTCGCGATCATGGAGCGAGCGCTCTACCCACTGAGCCACCGTGAACGGTATATAACATGGACAAGTAACAACTTTTCAAAAAGCTTGCCTGAGTAATGTCATCATATATCCATAGAACCTATAAACTTGATAAGTTATAAATAAACGTTTACATTGGGGGAGGGGGGTTAAATTATGAAGATGTTGCACAAAACATCATGCATTCATTTTAACTTGATGCTATTCAACAGAGGAATAGACAAAGAACAGAATATTATATAAAACATATTGTTTGTATCTCAAATAAGACATGGAATGTACATATGTCCTGCTGTGGAGTCGAACCCGCGACGTAAGGATGAACACCTCACTCCCCAAGTTAAAAATGATTTTATAGGATAAAGTAAATAAAAGAAATAAACTAATGCAATTGGTGTATGCGGGAAAGTCGTAATGAGGAAGACAGCTGAAAATATGATAACTACTGACAAGAAATTTGGAATCATGACAGAATTATGACTGACATGCAGAATATAATTAATAGATTCTTGGGTATGCCAGAGCATCAACGATTGTTAGAAACGTGGGATAAATAAAGCCCGTTATGCATAAATGACCCAACAAACTTGATGATGATATATAAATGGCGATAGGAAGTTTTTCCCAGGATAAGGGGTCCACATCAAAAGTGTTTGTATGAGCAAAAAAAAGTAATAAACTTCTGCAATCCTGATATGTGACGGGGCACTTTCCTAAGTCTAAATTCTGTTTTTTTTTTTTTTTTTTTTTTTTTTGTCTGTAGGAGGAAAGACCTTGGAGGGAGGGATCAGATGTATATTTGGCTAGTTCATCCTCTTTAGAAGTTTTTGATCGTTTCGTTTCTATTACTTTAAATGATGTAACTTCTAACTCACTTAACAATATCGCCGTTATGTTTTTCCCCATCGTCTCAAGTCACGGTCAGGAGTCCGCATATAGCTCTCTCCTACCCGTGGCTGCTTGATCACAAAAAGTGTCGTAATCTTGAATATTTACGCCTCCCTATTGTGACGTCATATTCAGTCAGTGGCAAGTTTTATTTCCATCGCAATTGAAATCAACAATTGACGTCAACAGTATAAAAGAAATATTTCCTATACTGCGATTGGATACTAAAAGGTCGCAACAAAGTTTATCATCCGACTATGCTTTACTCACATTGGTTAATATTTAATGAGCGAAGAAGAATTCTCTCCTCGTTCGGCCAGAATGGGAGTTTTCATTTCCATTCAATAGAAAAGACCAGGTTAAGGGCGCAAAAACTTACACGTGTCATTTTGGCGCGAAATGATTGTGTCAACCCTTATTTAGATGACAAATGGACTAATCCAGTAGTACAGAAATGCAGAAGAAAGGTAAAACGGACATGTCCGTACAGGAACTTGCATGAAATAAATAGACTAAATAGCTGCATGCACAAAACTAAAGGAAATAAATACATCAATATATTGTATCAGTTATATGGTTATTTTTCTGCTAACTGTTGTTGTTGATCATAATCAGCATGCAAAAAATTTTGCTGGCTAACTGTGACCTCTTAGCTTAGCAGGAAATATTGATCCTTAGTAGTGCCTGACGCCATGACGTCAGACAATAAGGCGAGCTAAAAGATTCTTTCATATTTTTATTGCAACAGGAAGCTTAAAACGTTTTTTTTTCTAATTATGCAACATATACATCAGGAAGATTAAATCACAATACAGATAAAGTATCTTTGCTACTTTATCTTCCGGGATAAAGAATTTCATGAAGATCATGCATTTTACATGTTTTTTTTTGTTTTTTTTATCAAAAGGGTAAGAAGAAAATTTAAATGTTTTAATTTAATGAATGTTTTATGTAATCTTTGGTTGTGGCATATTGATCTGAATAATATTTTTGATTTGAATAATAGTTTTTGATAAGATGTGTACATATGTAAGTAAGTAGAATTTAAAATGAAGTAAATTGTCAGAGGTAAAAGAAAGTGATTACATTTAAAACGTGTTTATCTATTCTTCACTTACAAGATTTTATTTTGTCGATATGTTTTCATAAAAATGTATATTTACATTACATAATTGTGTTAATCCTTTGTTTAGAGCGTTTTTGCACATGTATACTCTCCGTAAAACGCTGTCCAAATTTTGTTCATTTTAGGGAAGAATTAGTGTTGTAGATGAAGAAAAAGGGCAAAAAGGTTCTTCTTGTGATATTTTCTTTCATAATATTTAATGGTAGGTAAACCCTTTCAAACGACCGACACAGTTGCGTTGTTAACATTTTAAATTCTGTTTTTATAAAAAAGCAAAAATCAGTTCAATGAATTGTTGCGGAAATATTCTAGTATTCAACGGCAATGACATACTCTTTTATATCACGTCAAAACACTTATTTTTTAAACAGGGCCCATCTGTCCGTCCGTCCGTCTGTCTACCACGCTTTGGAGTACCCATCTCTTATCCGCAACTCCTCTTATATCACTAAATGAAATTTGATGAAACTTTCACAGAATCTTTATTACATTTTGCCATTGTGCAACTTCTATTTTACTTTTTGATCCGACACACATTTTGGGTTTCCCACAGCAAAACATGGACATTGCCATTATATTTATACCCCCGCTTGAAAAGTGGGAGGGTATACTGCAATCGGTATGTCTGTCCGTCCGTCCGTCCGTCCGTACATCCGTCCGTCCGTCCGTCTGTCTGTTACGCTTTAGGGTACCCATCTCTTATCCACAACTCCTCTTAAACCACTTAGTGAAATCTAATGAAACTTTCACAGAATCTGTATTACATATTTCCATTCTGCACCTCCTATTTTACGTTTTGATCCCACACATATTTTGGATTTCCCGGTCACAGCAAAACATGTACTTTTGCCATTATAACCATATCGGAGGCCGGGGATGTTATTTATTGAGCTCATTGCTCACAGTACCTTTAGTCATATTGGAGGCGGGGTATGATTTAGTGAGCTCATTGCTCACAGTACCTCTAGTTTAGATTCTATGGACGGTAAAACTACCTTTTTAGCAAATATTACTCATCGTTGGCTCTCTATTTGGTTGATTTGATTTGCAGGCGTGGTCAGTCAGAAGGGAATGTTTACTTTTCATTTTCCCGACTCTTAAAATTCCTTGTTTTTGCCCTGATCACAGAATTGTGTTGTTTGTAGCTTTTGTTAATTTTCAAATTCAGATGAGGAGAGACATTACAATATGACATCTGCTTTATACCTGTAATATCAACATATATCACATGTACTCAATTTTTATACATATGAAAAAAGATTCAAAGTAAAAGTAAATGATTACTCCTTTAAAGCACCATATCCCAACTCTGGAATTTTCATGGGCGGGGTTTTATGCTCCGTTCTTATGTCTGTATAAACTGAAGTTGCTTATGAGATTTATCACTATTTGTCATCCCTTTATGAATAAAACCTTTCTTAAAATCTTCATTTTTCTTCATCAAATTCAAGGGTTTGTTAAGGCAGCACACGGATCAGAATTCGGCAAATTAACACTTTTTTTATGATATGTAACACTTATCAATCGGAAAAGTAATGAATAAACTTTTGCTTTCATTATGCATTCTATAGACTTCAATGAGACTAATCTACAAGAAGCACTACTCCACGACGTCACTACATGACGTCTATAATTAGAAAATAGGCCTTTATGAAAAAGCGAAAAAAATCAACACTTCCCCGGGATAATTAATTTCAATTTGTAAAAAATAGTTACATGTACGTAAAAAAAAATACTATGAAAATTGCTACTAGAGTCCTACTGTCCTATCACATAAATAATATTTCAATACTTTCGGACGAAACCTTCCCAAAATTTTTACATTTTTTTCATAAGATCGAAAAACAATGCATCAATTCCCTTTAACCATACGATTCTATAAGCACTTTCCAAAAACAATATTATTTAGAGTAAGAACTTTAGATGCAGGAAAAAATTAAGTTTCAAAGTATGCGGCATAGTGTTGAACTTTTGCAACTTTTTTTCCTACGAACGACAGAGGAAAGGCTGATCGGCAAGTAAACACTATGTCTGCATTCACTGTATGAGAAAATTGTAGAATTATATTAACATACCTTATTCATAAGCTTTATTTTCACATTAATCACACATGATATTCATTCTTGATGCATTTAAAATCCGATTTCTTGGGTTTGTTTGCATGAATTCTCGTTACGTTTCACTTTAACTCTGTGACCACTGATCAACAGTTATGACGTCACTGGTTTGGTATTTAATCCTGTGATAAATACATAGAACCGGAATTGAAAAAAAAAATCCGTTTATATTATGCCTCTTCATAAGTTGATTCATTTTTATGATCTCAAATGAAATTTAAATATCGATTTTAAGAAATTGTTATCTCTAAAGTTCACACCATACATATATACTTTACAATGACGTCATATCATATAGGCAAGAAGAATACTTGATTGTAACCTTAACATACCTGCGTTAACAATGCTACATGTAAGACTCTTCAAATCAGCAAAACAAAATTTCTTATCTGAAAAATAAATGCTCACAATAATAAAACAACATGGAATATAAAGATACAATGAGGTACTATGCTCAAAAGTTCATTAAAGTCGTACATATTGAAAACAGAGCATGTATCAGAGGTTGGATCATGATCAGCAGCCACTTATAGGGGACCTTCAAATATCCGGACGCTTGAGTATCCGGAAGATTTTTCAACAGATTAGATTTTTTAAACGTTATTTTGTCTTGTTAAATGGTGATTCACATAACTGGACGCTTCACATATCCGGACAAATTGACTAGGAACAAAGCGTCCGGATTAATGAGGCTCTATTGTAGTATTAAGCATCTCCTGTCGAGCAAACACTTCCGTCGTGTGCTTTTTCTCATGGATTAGCAAGCGCATAAAATGAAGGAGATGTTTCAGTGAAGAAACAAGCGGGGGGTATAATAATGATGTATTTTTTTTAAATAATAATTTGTAATCTGTAAGTGGATGATGATAGATTGTAATTGCTGACAAGGTAACTGTATCAACCATAGAACTTGCAAAATAATGATTTTTAGGAATTTGTTTCATTGATTTCTTTCTCATGAAATTGCTTGCTTTGTTTTAGAACGTTTGTTTGAACGTAGAACATGCTTTTTCCAATCAACTGAAGTATCGACATAAACCAAATATATCCCGCTTCAGACATATCCGTAGAATATTAATTGGATAAAAGCTAATCACATGACGCCCTGAAATTTTCCGTATTACGTCACCGTCGAGGAGTAATATGAAAATAGGGTATGCGATTCCGTTCGAAGCGTTTTTGTGGTAAATAAAATGCTAAATAAGAAACGGTTTGCATAGGTAGTTAAGTTATAAATTTCTTGTTACGATAATTTTTGTTGGTTGTTATTGGATTAAAACTTTATATTTTCATAATATGCACATAGATTTTTTTAACATTTCAAGTTAATGTCATAGTAGGTCTTTAGGTGGATAAATTCGGCTTCGCCTCGCCGAATACGGATTTCCATTTCACATCCTGTATGTCTCCGTATTAGATCCCTAACTGATTGTGTAACTAATAATGCTCGTTCGAAGGGTACATTGCTACACGAGAAAAGGAACCCTACCTAAATGTACACAAAACCCACTTTTTAATCATACCTTTTTAAAGAAATGTTAACCTATGCTTCATGTACTTCAAGGAAGCGTTTTCAACATATTTGCATCCCAAACCCCAATAAAATCAAATGAAGAGATTTATTAGCCTTAATAAAAACTCTGCTTTTTGTTTTAAACGAAAAGCTCAGCATCTTCATTTAAATATAATTATGTGACCAAAAAAAGTGTTATGTTTTCAATGAAGATTTGAAATGTTCAATTTCAGTGAAGGACTCTAGAACAAATGTAAGCACTGTATTACTTCATAAACGTTCCTATATTTAGTTAATACCACCATCTCCGATCAAAAAACATGGAACTGGTTTGAAGCTCAACAATATTGCAGCAATACAAATGATACACTAAAAGCAGTTGGTGTTACTCCAAACTCACTCGAGCACTGGACTGGATTTTATCGGCGATATTCACCCTGGATAAAACTTTTAGGTATTTATTCAATTTGAAGCTCCCTCAAATTACACAGCTTATTGAAATGATAATTAGGCGGTTTTCTTTTGTTTCTAGGGTGCTTCGACTCAGAGGTTGTCAATAAGCAAAGAACCTTCCATTTTTATTTCAACTTTTCATCAGCAGGTTTATGTCAAGAGATATGTGCATCAGTGAATTCTACTCTTTTTGGAATACAGGTACCTTAAATATATTTAACGCCCCGGATATGGATTTTGTATCTATCCATATATATGCATTAAATTTACTAAAAGAGCATGTAACCTTACATAAGAAATTCTCATATAAAAAGTTTAAGAACAAGTATTATTTTTTATATTTCAAAAATATTTTGTATTTCAATAATTTTTTTATAAATACAAAAGGTGCATTGTTAAAACTTTACTTTAATAAACTCTGATGTTCCGAAATATTAAAGCTAGAAAAATGTGTCTGCTTTGAAAATCCCATTTTTGCGGAGACTATCTCGCCTGATCAATGCAATATTACTTGTAATGATGTTGGAGATGAAGTTCGGATTAAATTCTCAGAATGTGGAGGACCAAATGCATATACATTATATAAATCAGGTATTTCAAATCCATTTCCATAATCTAAATTAAACAATTTTCGCCTAATAACTGATCTTTAAACATGTCTCCATTTCTCTATTTTAATTCATTATTATTATTATTTGGAAGTGCATGAAATTTATTTTAAAAAAAACACAATCTTTTTTTTCAATTTGTATTCGAGATAGAAAAATGCCCATTTCTCATAAGAGATTTTTTTTATTAAAAAAGGCATCTTTCATTTAGTCAATATTAACTTTATCTTTATAAACTTGATACTGCTTATAAATATAAAACTTCTACAAGCCAATAAGCATAAGTTGACTAATTTAAAGCAATTAAAGACAGACGAGACGTTCCCCAATAATATTTTTTCCAAGATTTTTTCATTGAAGAATTACTGCTTTAAAATGTTTACTCACAAAAAATTGAGGTACCTTACCAGGCATTTGTTAGATATACCAGAGAATAGAGAATGGCATTTCGTATTTAATCCTTTTAAAGAGAAAAAAAACTAAGTTTGCCAAAATTACATTTTTGTGTTTCAATTTTTAAAAAAACAATTAAAAACCATTTTAGAAATCATCAAGTTATTTAAATTCTGTTTATTTCCTACATTATGAAGATATACAAAAGAGATATTAGGGAAACGTATCGTCTGACCTAAAACAATATCAAATATCTTTAAGTACTTGTATTTTTAATATCGTCTAATTTGGTCTGTTTTTAAAATCATTGTTATGACCTTTCAAAAAACGTTCAGATAAAATAACGATAATCTTTTTTACTTGCTTAGTATTCTTTCCATTTTTTGTTAACAGAGGACGATGGAGATAATAATGGTGCAGCTTGTCTTGCAATAAACTGTGGTACAATAAAGAAGTTTTCATTGTCTTCAGATTGTTCAGAGTCATACCATGGGGCCTGTGCCTATAAAGGTTATGATCAATTATATATTTTATTAACAAGTATAGAATGTTAAGATTATTCATAGAAGTTTAAAATATGCATGAATCATCTTATATATCCTTGTACTAGTATTCAAAATTCATAAAGCAGAGACTAACAAAAATAAGACCTGGGATTTGGATGGCCGCCATATAATTAAATAAAAGACAAGATAGGGTAAGACTCCTTTTTGGCCCCTTGATTTTGGGTGTCTTTCATTAGTTTTAAGGTTTGAAATACGCAGAGGTCACAGAGAGTTGAGAAAATAGGTTATTTTAAGCACTTTCTCATTTTTGTGCAAATTTTCATCGATTTTACAGCACAATTGGTTTCGGAAAACATATATAGCGTAAAACTTTCGATTTTTTTATTTTGTTGTATATTGTTGTATACATATGAGTGTACTCGTAGGCAAAGGTTTAATAATCTTAGATTTAATACAACACAATTTTCTAGGGTAGGTATAGTATTTTATGGATAAAATAGTTGAATTCATGAAATTGTTTTAAGATATTTTATTGAAAAAAATATGTTAAAGACCGTTAGGATTACGTTTATGTACGATTATGATTTAAAACAATAAGTTTTACGTTATATTTACGCAATCTATTATTGTTGAAGGAAAGGGGAAAATTTTATTCTTCGGGTTACAGCAAGAGTTATATTAGGCACGAAACAAAGATGCCGGATTTTGGTCATGCCAGATTAGGGTTAGGGTTATTATTATTTTTTTAAATAATGAATGTTAAACAATTGAATTTGTTAAGCTGAAAGCGTTCTTCCGTGAAACACCGTTTTAAAAAATGATAAATACATCTTGTAGTTATTGAGGTTGTGTGCTTATGTTAAACAGGTATTATTTTACCATAAAAATAGTCTTTTAATCATTAATTTTTTAATATTAAAAAAAGTCCAAAATGAATGATATGATCACTTCTGTGTAAATTCAAGAATGATTAGACGTCACACACGGCAATAAATGAAAAAAAAATATCTTGATTTGTATTTTCTATATTTGGTACCTATTTCAGAGTATGTAGGATGCTTTAAAGACCAGCCTAATCGAACATTGTCAATGAAATCAATCGGATCCTTTTACATGACTTTAGAATATTGTAGAAACTTCTGTAATGATACTCTATGGAGTTGAGGTTAGTTGCTTTTACTTACACTAATACACGTATCAGTAAAACAATTTCTTAAACATGTTATGCATACTTGTAATTATTTATTTTTTTAGTATTCTGGAGAATGTTACTGCGGAAATTTTTTTACAACGGTTACCAGAAAGCCTGAAGGACAATGTAAAATGAAATGTCATGGAAATAATGCTCAAGTTTGTGGCGGGAGCTGGAAAATGAACATTTACATAAACTTAAATTTCAAAACAAGTAATTATGAAGAAATTAAAACATCTGCTTTATATTTATCCACTATACTACCTTAAATGAAATAGTAGAGAACGTGGGGCAATTTTTCATTTCGTAAATGATAAATGAACACTTTATATTTTTTTCGTCTATCATTAACGTTATAGATTAATACTACAATAATGTTTTTAGAGTCTGGTCCGATTTATAGAAAAAATACTTCTAACGGCAAATAATTATTATTTGGTCCAGCATAGTTTTATAACCTATTTTGAGTATGCTGAATCCGAAAAAAATATGCTGGCCTTCATGAAAATGGCGTTAAAGAGGTCAAAATGGCGATTCAAAATGGCGGACATCCAATTTTTCTAATTTTCTCTTAATATCGTTCAAAAAGGAGAAATAAATTGTGAATATCTCACTGAGTGTCATACAAGTATAAAAATAATAATGCTAAAATTATTAGTTTAACTCACAAAATTTAGCCTTTCTACACTTAATTAGAATTTTCTCTTATTTTTTGGTCTATCGTTATATATTCCGCTTTGTTCAGGATTTTACATTTTAAAATATCCATACATTGCAGATTTGTATTTTTTCCTCTGCATCTCACTATTCTATTACTGAATGATAGTGCAGCTGTAAGTTAAAAGTCAGAATGGTGATTCAAAATGGCGTATATTCATCTTTTTTTTTAAATATTTCTTAATGTCTTTTACATAGGAGAAAGGATTTGTGAATATTTTATTTAAAATGCCAACTGAACACTAATTTGATCACTTTAAATCGGAAAATTTAGTCGTTTAAATTTGAAATGTGTTAATTAGCTTAAAATGGCGATTCAAAATGACGTCTTATACAATCAAATTTCATAGAAACTGCTTAATTCTGGTTCGTTTTGCAGAAAAAAAAATTACAGTTTGTTTTTTTTATATATATAGTACATATACAAAGTAGTATATTGATTAGTCCATTAAACATGAACAAAAAATACTTGAAAAGATTCATTTTTTCTGGAAATATTTAAAACAAACCCGACTTAAGAGTTTCCAAATTTCCCCCTTCAAATTTGACCGTACGTGTTCCAAAGCCTTTGAGCCCCCGTCCACCTAAAATCACTCCCGAATCCTGTCATTATCAACTCGCAGTTCTACCTCAACATCCCACTGCACCCATCAAATATAACTGAAGAAATTCTTGTCCGATTTCATCGAACACTTTGTTCTAGCTTTTTAGCTCTTATGAGACCTTAGTATTTTCCCCTAACATCTTTTATTCCAGCTTTATTTGATATATGTTTCAGTCTGTCTTCGGAATTTTGGTATTTTCAACACTCAAGTAAAATGGTGCCCGTGTCAAGGATGACAACCCCCTTGGCATGTAAAAGATCGTTTCTCTGGAGTTCGAAAAAGAGTAAGCTCACTGGGGCCGCCAGAGAAACCAAAATTCTTCAAAATCCAATTATTTAAACTGATAGTCTGCCGAAACATGGCTTCAAAATTGCCGACTCGGCATAAAACAATATACAATCAATCAACCAACACTCAAGGAACAACATATTTATGTTTAAATGTTAAAAGTCTATTTTGTTATCCAAAAACATATGCAAAATGAACTAGAGGTACTGTGAGCAATTAGCTCACTAAATGATACCCCGGTCTCCCATATGAATACATGTATAATGACAGTGTCCATGTTTTGTTATGGGAAACCCAAAATATGTGTCGGATCAAAAAGTAAAATAGGAGGTGCACAATAGCAATATGTAATAAAGATTCTGTGAAAGTCTCATCAAATTTCATTCAGTGGTATGAGAGAAGTTGCGGATAAGAGATGGGTACCCCAAAGCGTAACAGACGGACGGACGGACATACCGATTACTCTATACCCTCCCGCTTTTCGATACCCCCGCGTGGGGTATAAAAAAATCTCTGATATTCAAGACACGTAGCTCTTTATTTTGTGACCTCGTATAAATGTGTTGTTTTTTTTAGGGTAGAAAGGTCATTGTATTAGCAAGAAAATTATCAAACTTGATCATCTGAAATCACATTGTGTGCATATTTTGGTGAGAAAAGTTGTAAAATTATGCAATTTAAGAGCGCCTGCAGATTCCTCGTGATTCCTATCACAAACAAGCTTTCGTACAAATAGCCGTAAGCCATTCCTGATTTCGATCTAGTAAACACTTCTCTTGACAACAAAATTTTCTTGAACGCTTCAAGAACTTGACAAGGCAACTTGATCCACACTTCTTTGTTAGGAGAGTGTAAGCTTGTATGAAGAATCGAGGGGGGGGGGGAGACACAAACATTTTCTTCTTTCAGATTCTGTGAATTTCAAATTTTTAAATCCATTATATACACTGTTCAATACAAAATTATCCGTTCACAGCATGAAATATTTGAGAATGCAGTTGAATTTTTGACTGAGAATAACAAAATGCAAATGTAGGGACACAGAATCAGAACTGGACAATCAAGAAAAATTATGGTTTTCGTATATTGAACTCATAATTCTTGACATATATGTTTACATTTGGATTTTATAATACATTCATATGATTTATATGATGTAACAATTACTAGCCCTCTAATTGGTCGTGGTCAATCATTTTAATAATCATACTAAATTATGTTACACTAGACCTTCCACATGAACTTAAACATTTATTTTTTTTTCTACACTGGGCTAAAAATAGATCAAGAATTTCCAACAACTGAATGTTCACTTGCCTTAATGCTCTGAGAATACTGCTCTTGGGGTAGCTTAATTTTCGTATTGTCCTCAAATCAGCGATTATTGTATGACATTAACTTTTTATATGAAGAAGCATGGTGAGACAAGTAAAAGGTAAAATGTCTTCGGAATTGTTGGTAAAAAAATTATCTTCACAATAGAAGTAAATAAACAAAAATCAGTGTTTCAGAAATCCTAAGTCATTAGCAAAAATATCCTCCAACTTTCATCGCATATTTGAACAGTATTTCATGAATAAAAACAACAAAAATAAAATGTAATTTATTTTCTGCAAAACGAACCTGAATTAAGCAGTTTGGGTATTTTACAAAATTCTAGTGTATAAGGCGTCATTTTGAATCGCCATTTTGAGCTAATTAACAGATTTCAAATTTAAACGACTGAATTTTCCGATTTAAAGTTATCAAATTAGTGTTCTATTGTCATTTTACATAGTTGTACTACGCTCAGTAAAATATTCACAAACCCTTTCTCCTATGTAAACGACATTAAGAATTAAATAATTTGAAGAAAAAGATGAATATCCGCCATTTTGAATCGCCATTTCGACTTTTAACTTACAGCTGCACTATCATTCAATTGTATGATAGTGAGGTGTAGAGGGAAAAATACAAATCTGCAGTGTATGAATATTTTTAAATTTAAGGTGGCTCATTACATCCACAGTTTATTTTAGATTTCAATACAGCACCAATTATAATGTAGATGTCAAATATCCAGATGAGGGTATTGATATCATAAATATTTTTTATAGAATTTTTTAGTTTTTGTCTAATTTTAGTGAAATGTTTTATTTCAAGTTTATTATTAATAAAATTTCTGAACTTTCAGTGTCAAATGATAGGCATCTTCTTAAGACAAGTACACACAGTGAAAATACTTCATAATATTTAATAATAATTTTATTAGAAAAAATAATTTTCTCCTAAAAAACAATCAATGTGATTATCTGTATAATCCATGCATAAAACATTAAGAAAATGAGTTCTGAAGAGACAAGGAATGTATTCCAATGAATTACATGTGTCAAATTAAATGAAAAATGTTTAAGCGAAATGAAAAATCCGATTTAAAAGATATTTGGAATAAAAAGTCCACTTTCAAGAGTTATCTTTCCTAATTACCCAAGACTCAAAACACGAAGGAACGTTTGACATTAGTTGATTACATCTAAAATTCAGAACAAAACTTTAACTTGACAGAGTATACATTTAAATCAATAAAGCAAATATATTAATTAACACCAACACAGTAAATAATGCAAGTAAATAAATTTTTAATTTCAACAAGGGTGTACATTTTAACTCTAATTTCCTCCATACAAACATGTCATTAATTGATAGAGCTCACTGCATGCATCGCTATGAAATTTACATTACTTGTTTGGCGAAGATTTGACTGTTGTTTTCTTTTATTTCTGCTCAATAGCAATTCTTCTTGGTTTATGCATTATTAATCCGTTACTTTGTTTTCACTTTTTATAACACCGCATGTTTCTTCTATTTTTAAAGCGTTTTAAAGGTCAGGGTCATATCATAGAGGTACCTGTACTATTCGTCCCCAGAGCAAACTGGTCGACACAATGGAGGTTTATTTTTTTGTGTAGTACGTCATCAAAAAGTGGTGTAATGAGCCTCCTTAAAATCATGAACAAAGAAGAATATAGAAACAATAGACAAAAAAATCAGAGAAAATTCGAATTAAGTGTAGAAACGACTAAATTTTCTGAGTTTAACTAATAATGTTAGTATCCTATTATACTTTTTATAGTTTTATTACACTCATTTAGATATTCACTCATTATTTTTCCATTTTGAACGACATTAAGAGAAAATAAGAAAAATTGGATGTCCGCCTTTTTGAATCGCAATTTTGACCTCTTTAACGCCATTTTCATGATTTCACTATATTTTTTCGCATTCAGTATACTCGAAATAGGTTAAAAAACTATGCTGGACCAAATAATAATCATTTGCCGTTAGAAGTTCTTTCTAGCCTTCTTTTTAAAGATCAGGACCAGATTGTTATTTTAGTAAAAAGGTCTCAGATAGTTGGAATGAAGTGACCACAAGATTATGTCAAGAAATTGCTAAAAATTGCATCTCAAGCAAAATTTATTTATCAAACAAGCTTCACGTGTAGATACCCTCGTTTCAAAACTATAATTATCAAATCCAGTCATAAAACCTTGTCACTAAATCTTTATCGTATCTTTGGGGGTAAAATTCCGATAAAATCCATATTATAACTATTGAGAAATGCACTATTTTAGGTTATGGAATTTTGTGCAATGTCTTAACATTATCATTACCAAGATTGGACGTCATTTAGTGGACATCATTAAAAAACAATAAAATTTCTTGAAGAGAACTTGTATCATTTTCTTTCAATTTCCGTCAAATTGTGTAAATAAAATTGGACAAAATGTGCAACGTTTATAGTGCATTTCTTGTATTTCAGTATTCATAACATTATGTTTTACATAATTATGAACTGGTATCACGTTTTCTGGGACACCCTGTATTTTAGTAATATGCAGCTTTTTTGAAGAAAAAAAAAACAGAGAAAAAAGGGATTGGACGTCATCGATGCAGACATGTAAATCTCGGTATCCTAAATCTTATCTAATCGGAAATGTTTCCTTGACAAATGCAACTTTGGCTTGTAAACAACTGCAAAGGACACAGGGAGGGGTATACTGGTTAAGCATTGCTAAAGAAGAGTATATGGGATATGATAGAGGTAAAATGCATATACTTTTTTTCTTCAGAATTTTAATATTGTTTTAAGAAATATCTATAAGACACACTTTTTGCTGTTTGTTTCAAGACTCAGTTGCAAATCAATTTATGGCAGGTGTTGCTATTGATATTGACGAAAGGGCAACATTTCATCAGTGCCAGTTATGT